GTTGTCCGGTAACGGCTGACGTGCCGAAAGAATTACACTGCAGAACTGAAATGAGAAATAATAGTGAAACATAAAATATTGCAATTATTTATCATTTTAATGACGCAAAATTACATTCGTACAATCGTACGTACAACCGTGTGTCAAAACCACGGCGAATGTTTGAGGTCGAATGGCAAGCAATAGCGCTATAAGCGCAACACACACACATCGTTGTCGGCAGCTCGTAAAAGCAAGCACGTTTTCATTTACCTCTCATTAATATTGAAGAGCGCAGACGGAAAGAATGCACGTGTGCGCGACGCATGAATAACGCATAATAGACGCGCTAATTTACCTGCAAAATATTCGCGGAAGAAGCGTGTCCTGTCACGTGCTAGTTAATCAATCCTCGCGTCGCGCGCGTAACAGTGTTAATAACCTAAGTTCACGCGTTGCGTACGGCCGAGCACACACACGCACGCACACCGCACACATCACTACGCCACGCACGCGCCGCAGCACCACACGCGGACACACACACACGCACCGCCGCGCGCACACAACATCCACTACACACACGGCGCGCACACACACACCGCGACGCGGCGCCAGCGCACACACATCCACACACACATCGCGCGTCAGCACACACACCACGCGCGCGCGCACTACACATCGTCACATGCGCGCAGCGAGCTCACCACACATATCACACTACCACACACACACACACATACACACACAGCCACACACTCCAGGCACATGGAACACACACACACGCGTTACCCACACACCACACATACACACAGTCACATCAGCACACACACACACAGCTACACACAAACAGAGGAACACACTCACACAGCTACACACAAACAGAGGAACACACACAGCCACACACACACAGCACACCGTTAGGCGCACACCGCACACACTACACACACACACCACACACACACACACTCCTCACACACACACGCACACACACACACACATACACACACACCGCATAACTCGCTAACAATGAAAGCGGAGACGAATTTAGATTGCTCGCGCGCGTGTATCTGTCCGTCCGTCCGTCAGTCAGTCAGTCAGTCAGTCAGTCGGCCTTGCGATGCATGCAGCGGCGACGCAGGACGGACACCTGGGTGTTGACACACGCCTTCGGCCGGTGACGGGCGCGTTGTTGACGCGAGGAAAGACAAACACTCGCGCGAGCGTGCGTGCCCCGGATTCACGTCACGCGTCTTATGATGCATCGAGAAAACAGTGTGTTCAATATTTGCGCCGGCCGCGATTTGATAGCTCATCGTAATCATCGCTATATGCAAATGAGTAGCTCAACGTACGGCCCTAGTATAGCGCGCCGCCGGGGGAGAGGGAAGAGGAGGAGGTGGAAGAGAATGAGGAGGAGGGGGAGGAGGAGGAGGTGGTGGTAGAGGAAGAGGAGGAGGAGGATGTGGAAGAGAACGAGGAGGAGGAGGAGGAGGAGGAGTATGATGATGAGGAGGTGGAGGAGGAGGAGGATGAGGAGCAGTATAAGCTAAAGTCATAGGAGGAAGAGGAGGAGGAGAAGGAGGAGGATTGTTACGCACGAATTTTATATCGAGTATAGTGTCCTTGTAACGCTATTACTAGTTAATACTCATTCATCTGCTGTGGAATCAGCAACGACGCGAAGGCGCGCACTCGTTCTATCCGCGTGGCGTCGCCACCAGCGCGCCATTCCTAGAATCGAATTCCCTTTAGTATCGCAAAGGAAAATTAATATAGGAAATATATAGTATATACATTAGATAGGATATTAATCGGATTTGGATGAAGAGAAATGCGTCCTATTAATAGAAAGAATATAATATATCATATAATATCTTTCTATATAGATTCTCTCAATCGCAATTCCATTATATAAAGGGACTTGTTGACGGCCTCTCCGCGCGTACTACCCTCTGGCGAGTTGCGGCGGCCGCTTGGGGCGACCTTACTCCTGGCTTACGCAGACGGCGACCCATACTTACCGACAATTCTCGCGGGCGGCGGCGCCGTCATAGAGAGAAATCGCTTTTGAAATGAGTTGAAAAGAGATAGAAGAAGTGAGAGAAAGAGAGAGAGAGAGAGACGAGAGAGAGAGAGAGCGGGAGGGGAGAGTAGTAGAGAGAGAGAGAGAGAGAGAGGAGAGAGAGAGAGAGGAGAGGAGAGGAAGTAGATGATTGAGAGAAGAGAGAGAGAGAGAGACTGAGATAGAGAGCCGATGGAGAGAGAGAGAGAGAGAGAGAGAGAGAGAGAGAGAGAGAGCGGGGAGGGGGGAGAGGCTATCGTATATGAGAGGAGCAGAGAGAGAGAGAGAGAGAGCAGAGAGAGAGAGAGAGAGACGAGAGAGAGAGAGAGAGAAAGAGAGAGAGCGAGAGAGAGGAGAGGGAGAAGAGAGAGAGAGAGAGGAGAGAGAGAGAGAGAGATGAGAGAGAGAGAAGATGAGAGAGAGAGAGAGAGAGAGAGAGAGAGAGAGAGAGAGAGAGAGAGAGAAAGAGAGAGAGACAGAGAGACAGAGAGAGAAAGAGAGACGAGAAGAGAGAGAGAGAGAGAGAGAGAGAGAGAGAGAGTAGAGGAAGAGAGCGAGAGGCGAGGCCGAGAGAGAGAGAGAAGAGAGAGAGAGAGAGAGAGAAGAGAGAGAGAGGAGAGAGAGAGAGATAGAGATAGACGAAGAGAGAGAGAGAAGAGAGAGAGAAGATGAGAGAGAGAGAGATAGAGAGATATGAGAGAGAGAGAGTAGAGAGAGAGAGAGATATGAGAGAGAGAGAGAGAGAGACGAGAGAGGAGAAGAGAGAGAGAGCGAGAGAGGAGAGACGAGCAGAGGAAACGGAGAGAGAGAGCGGAGAGAGAGAGAGAAGTTAGTAGAGAGAGAGAGGGAGAGTCTAGTAGAAGAGGGCGAGAGACCGCTTACGAGACCGCCCCCGGAGGTGGTGAAATCTATATCGTGCCCGCGTAATTCATGGCAGATTTTACGGGGCATGTTCTTGTGCGTGCGGTGCGTGCGTGCGTGCGTCAAGCGTGCGTGCGTCGCGTGGCGTGTCGTGCGTGCGTGGCGTGCGTTGCGTGTTGCTGTGTGTGTCTGTGTGCGTGCGGGCGTGCAGTGCGTGGAGTGGCGTGCGTGCGTGCTGGGTTGCGTGTGTGCTCTCGTGTGTGCTGTTCGCGGGCGTGGCCGGTGCGTGCGTGCGTGCGTGCGGTGCGTGTGTGGTGCGTATGGTTTGTGGTGTACATGTGTGCGCGCGCGGCGTGTATACCGATGTGTGTCGTGTGTGTTTGTGTGCGCGTGGTTGCGTGGGTAAAGCGCTTCGTTCTTTAAGAAGTAGCAGGTGCGAGCTCGAGCAAGTCTAGTGATTGAGAGGGGAAAGAGAAAAGTAGTGTAAAGAAGAGAGAGAGAGAAGAGAGAGAGAGAGAGACGAGAGAAAGAGAAAGAGAGAAAGAGAGAGATGGAGAGGAGAGAGAGAGAGGAGCGAGAGCTGCGCGACACGAGTAGATGCGAGAAGGGGGCGCAAAAGGAAGAGAAAAGAGAGAGAGCAGAGAGAGAGAGTAGAGAGAAGGAGAGAGAGAGAGAGATGAGAGAGAGAGATGAGAGAGAGAGAGAGAGAGAGAGAGAGAGAGAGAGAGAGAGAGAGAGAGAGAGAGAGAATGAGAGAGAGAGAGAGAGAGAGAGAGAGAGAGAGAGAGAGAAGAGAGAGAGCGAGAGAGAGCGAAGAGCGTAGAAGAGCGAGAGAGCGGAGAGAGCGAGAGAGCGAGAGTAGCGAGAGAGCGACGAAAGGAGAGAGCGAAGAGAGCGTAGAGAGCGAGACGAGCGATGGAGAGCGAGAGATGCAGAGGAGAGGCGAGAGAGCGAGAGAGGCGAGAGAGCGAGATGAGGCGAGAGAGCGAGAGAGCGAGAGACGAGAAGAGGCGGAGAAGAGCGAGAGAGCGATGAGAGCGAGAGAGCGAGAGAGCGAGAGAGGCGGAGAGCGAGAGAGCGAGAAGGCGAGAGAGCGAGAGAGAAAGAGAGAAGAGAAGAAAAAGGAGAAGAAAGAGAGAAAGAGAAGAAGAGAGAAAGAGGGAGAGAGAGAGAGAAGAGAGAGAGAGGAGAGAGAAGATAGAAGAGGACAGAGACAGAGACAGAGACAGAGAGGAGAGAAGATGCTGCGGATGTGAAAGTAGCGCACGGTCTATTTATAGTTATCGCGCGACCGGAACGTCAACCGGACGACGTCAGCGACGGATTTGTTCCGCTGAAGGGTTTCCGTCCTGATCTTTATAGTCGGCCAAACCCGCGAACACGCGCATGCATCGCCGCACTCATAGCGGTGACGCGCGAACGAAGAAACGCGAGCGGTGAATCGGCGCTTTCTCGCCTCTCGAGGTTTCCTCACTTTTTTTTTTTTGGGAGAGGCTCTCTCGTACCTTGCGCCTCGACGCTATACGTGCTTTGTTGACGATGTGCACGAGTGGTTCGGTTATATAGTTGCAGCAGCTTATTTGTGATGAAGGCTCTGAGTTTATGCACGCCCGCGCGCAGCGCTAGCAGCGCATTATACTATTTTTCACGTTATTACCCGAGTTTCACGCTACACTAGTGCGTTTGTTGTTGGCGCGAGTTACGGCGCGAATGTGTCCAGTAGCACGCGCCGGTCGCGCAGCATCGTTACACAAACAGACATTAATCCAGTTATGATATGTAAATGTCATATCACACACGCACGCACGGAACACACGCACGCAACACTACTAGAGAGCAGAGGCGGAATAATGAGAGAGAGCAAGATAGATATGTAGAGATAGGTAAAAATAACGTATAACCTTTCATGCGATACGTACGTACAACATGCAACCACCACATAATATATTAGTATATATTATAATATAGTATAGTATGTATCATAGCGCGTACGATTTATATACATATAATATATAATATTAATATAATACATGTATGTGATGTATATATATAATATAGTCCGGAACGTTCTAATGGTGTTCCTCGTGTCCTCTTGCAGTGTCGAGCGGTTCAGCGGTGGCTACTGGTGGCGGTGCGCTCAGGTTGCGACGCGTACTGGCTCCAAACCTGTGGCGTTTCGTTAACCTTGGCACGCTCAGCTGTCACGATAACCGTCGTCATCGAGACCCGAACTCACTGTCTACCGACGACGGTACGACAACGAAACGAGTCCCGAGTCCGAGAAATGACGCAGCCGGTGAGAAGAGGGAGAGGAGGTGATAGAGGAGGGAGAGTGGAGAAGGAGAGAAGAGAGAAGAGTGAAGAGAGAGAAACAGTGAGTGAGAGGGATTATATATATATATATATATAGATAGGGAGAGAGACGTGCGTGAACAGAGAAAGAGAGAAGGAGAGAGAGAGAGGAGAGAGGAGAGAGAGAGACGAGGGAGCACGAGCGAAGGAGAGAGAGAGAGGAGAAGAGAGAGAGAGGGAGAGGGAGCGCGCGGCGAAGGAGAGAGAGAGCAGGTGCGTGAAGAGAGAGCGCAAGCGCGGTAGGCCGCAGCAACAAAAGAGGTCTACATGAGTAGGAAAAGATCGAGAGGGGAAATATCGACGTTAAAGAATCTCTAGCAAGAGAAAGCACAGAACTAAAGAGGAAGTGAAAAGAACAGAAGCAGGATGGGATCGCAGGAGGACTCTTGCCAACGGGGGAAGCCAATCAAAGAGGAGAAGAAGATAGAAAAAAAGAAAGGGCCTAGAACATGGGGAGTGCCAACTATTTTCTGTCTATCAGCTTGTAGCTGACACTGCGTCACATGGCACTTAGGTAACGTTTCCAATAAAATATAATGCTAAATAATATAGTGAAAAATATAATGCTAAATTTCTCTACTCTCTTTCACGTGCATATTATATTCCGATAATTTCTGTAAATGCCGTCCAAATGCTCATCTGGCAACACGACGCTGGCCGCGCAACGCTAAGCCTGCTGCACACCTCCACGACCACAATAATGAAGGTGTCAGTGATATATATTTATGGTCAGTGCAGCAGCAGCTTAGCGTGCGTGTACTTGTGTGTTGCAGATGAGCATTTGACCGGGGCATTTACAGTATATTATAGGCGAAATAAGAGTAGGAGAAAGATTGAAGACTTGATAGTAAATACATTTCGTGCTATTACCTTCTTGTTTTTATGAGAACGTTCAAGTGCCTGTGGGACTGCGATTGTGAAATTTGTGCGTGTAATTGTGGCGCCAAAATCCTTCTTCAGGTCAATTGAATATCTTGTATTACCTGCAGCATAACCATAACCACACCAAACAACTCCAATGCACCCACCCACCACACACACACACACACACACACACACACACACACACACACACACACACACACACACACACACACACACACACACACACACACACACACACACAACACACACACACACACACACACACACACACACACACACGCCAACACGTACACATGCACATGTATACACAGACGTAGGCGGTGGCAGCGCTATACAATCGCACGCGCGCGTGCCAAGCGCGTGTGTATATATATATACATAACGACCGCACATCCTGCGAAGATATTCCTTTAATATGTAAGTGGCGTGTGTTTTCCGTGCCGCAACAGATCGACACGATGGGAATAATGCGGCGGACGACAGTAAATAAATAGAGAGAGAGAAAAGCAACGCCGCGGAAAGACTTCAATGGCGACAATAAACGCAGTGCTATCTATGGTAACTATACTGTTTCATGTTTGTTGTCTTCTGAATCGGCTCTCCGCTCGCGTTCCACACGGCGACACGGCGACACGGCTTCACTAATGACCGGGAGGGAGCCCATCTGTCGTGACTTTTTTGGCGTGTCTTCAGTAGCACGGGGGGGCTTTATATCTCTCACTTTTCCTCTTGTGTCGCTTTCTTGCAACACCTGCTCGCTTTTCCTCGCGCTCGCTTTCTCTCTCTCTCTCTCTCTCTCGTCTCTCTCATCTTTCTCGTCTTTCTTATCTCTCTTTCTCATCTCTCTGCTCTCTCTACTCAATCTCTCTCTGTCTCTGTGCGTGCGTGCATGCTTGCGTGCGTGCGTGCGTGCCTGTCTATCTGTCTGTCCGTCTGTCTGTCTGCCTGTATCTTTGTTTTAATATTAATACTTCTTTTTCTGTTTTATCCTCTCCTCCCTCATTTCTGTCCGGTCTTCGATTCTTCTCATTTCCGCTCTTTCTGTTTGCCCACCCTTCTCTCCGTGCTTGTTCTTGTTGGTCTTTATCGCTCCCTACACCCTCCGTTCCTGTCTTCCACCTGCCCTTCTTTCTTGTCGTTTCCTTTTCTTCTCTTTCTTTTTGCGGCGTGTACGTGCGTATCTCTCTCTCTCACTCTCTCTCTCTCTCTTAATTTCTCTCTCTCTCTCTTCGTCTTTCTTTCTTCCTTTCTCTCTTTTTGCTATCTCTCTATCTACCTATATAGCTCTCTATATACCTATTTATATGTATCTTCTTTTCTATTTCTCTTTCTAGTTTCTCTATTCCCTCCTTTCTTTTATCTCTTTTCCTTCTTTCTCTCTCTCTGCTCTCTCTCTCTCTCTCGTCTCTCTCTCTCTCTTTTCTCACATGTTTCGCATCGGCGAGAAAGGCCTCAAAGCCTATCTATAATCGCATTTAATCCGCATGAATTCGCGTGCGCCGCCAGACTGCACAGCTAATCCGAGTAACACCTTGGTCACACCGTAGCGCGCCGGCTCGGCCATTACGCACCTCTATTGACATTCCTCTGACAAATCTAGTATATAATGGCGCGGCGCGTGTGCTCACGTTCAGAAGGGAGGATTGATCGCAGGGAGGGGGGGTGGGAGATAGGGAGAAAGCCATGGGCGGCGGGGGGGCGTAATGGTAATGAATACGTATAGTGAGGGTGGGGGTGGTAGGATTATAGGTTTGAGAGGTAGTGGTGTAGGTGGTAGGATGATAGCATAAACATAGAATGGGGGGCGTGATGAGCTATAGGGTGAGGTAGGGGTGGTAAGGATTATACGAATAAACATAGAGGTAAGGGTGGGGGTGGTAGGAGTTATAGGTTTAGGCGTAGGGTGGGGGTGGTAGAGATTATAAGGTTTAGGTAGGCGTGGGGGTGGTATGGACTTATAGGTTGAGGGTAGGGTGGGGTGGTAAGATGAATAGCATAAACATAGAATGGGGTGGGAGGCGTGATGAGTATAGGTTGAGGGTTAGGGGCTCGAGTGGTAGGATTATAGGGTAAACATAGGGTGGGGTGGGCGTGATGCAGTATAGGTTGAGGTTAGGGTGGGGTGGGGGTGGTAGATTATTAGGGTAAAAATAGTGGTTTGGGTGTTGGCGTGATGAGTATAAGGTTGAGGGTAGGGTAGGGGGGGGGGTAGGAATATAGAGATAAAACATAGGGTGGGGTGGGGGTGGGGGGGTGGTAGGATATAGTGCGTAAATCATAGGTGGGTGGGGCGTGCTGGAGTATGGTGAGGTGGAGGGTGGGGTGTGTAGGATTATAGGGTAAACATAGGTGGGTGGGGATGAGAGTATAGGTTGAGGGTGGGTAGGGTGGCGGTGGTAGATCTATAGGGGTAAAACATAGGGTGGGGTGGGGGTGTATGACGTATAGGTTGAGGGTAGGGTGGGGGGTGTAGGATATAGGGTGAGAAACATAGGGTGGGGTGTGGCGTGATGAGTAATAGGTTGAGGGTAGGGTAGGGGGGGGTAGGATTGATAGATAAACATAGGGTGGGAGGGGTTGGGGGTGGTAAGGATTATAGGGTAAACATAGGGTGGGGTGGCGGGTGATGAGTATAGGTTTGAGGTAGGGTGGGGTGGGTAGATTATAGGTAAACATAGGGTGGGGGTGGGGGCGTGATGAGTATAGGTTTTTGAGGGGAAGGTGGGGGTGGAGGATTTAAGATGAAACATAGGGTAGGGGGGGGGGTGGTAGGATTATAAGGATAAACATAGGGTAGGGTTGGCGTTGATAGTATAGGTTGAGGGTTGGACGGAATAATGAAAGAGGGGGAGGGAATAATGAGAGTAGAATAGAGAGAGGGCAAGGTCAGGATAGGCGTAGCGCATTGAGGCTAGGGCAGGGGGAGATGGACGGTGGAAACCCCTGCCTTGTTTTCGTCGAACGAAACGCACGCACACCCTCAAACTGGATAAAGCAAAGGCAAGCGAGCGCAAGAGAGGTCGGTGAGATTAAAGATAGTGAGCGATGAAGAGAGAAAGCGTCACCGACGACACCGCGGAGAGAAAGAGGGGAAGAGAGAGAGAAGAGACAACCGCTAACCACCCTCATCGTAAACTGCGCGCGCTCTCGCTGCGAGAGAGAGATTCCTGGCGATGATCGACACAGTGGTGCGCCGGCTCGCTTCCCGCTCGCGGGCACAACACACACACACACACGCGCGCACACGCGCGCGCGGCACAACGCCACCACACACACAACACATACACACACACACACACACACACACAGACCACACACGCAACACAAGCACATACACACATCACACACCGCGCAGCGCGGCGCACACATCAGGCACAACGCACACACACGCACACACACAACACACACAGCACACACGCACAACACACACACACACATACACGCGCGCAGCCACGAACACATCGCACGTTGACCCCCCGTTCTACCACACACCACACACGACACACACACCACTACACACACACACACACACACACACACACACACACACCCCAACACACCACACACACAACAACACACACACACAGTCAGCACACACTTCACACACACACACACACACACACACACACACACCATCACACACCCACACACCAGCAGCTTCATTACGGTAACAGAAGAAAGAAGGGTGTACATTAGGCGCCAGCTCCATGAAGGCCGGGTGTCTGAGTTTGGCGGCGCGTGGTTAGTGCGCGGTGCGCCCGAATCCCCCGGTGCGCTGTCTGCGTAATCACCAGCAGCACCCTCTGGGGAGCGACAGCGGCAACGACGAGACAGACCAGAAAGAGAGAGAGAGAGAGAGAGAGAGAGAGAGAGAGAGAGCGAGAAGAGAGAGAGAGATGGTGGAGGGAGCGAAAGGGAGAGAGAAGGAGAGCGGAGATAGATAGATAGATAAATAGATAAATAGTGATTGGTACGTAAATAGATAGACAGATAAGATAGATAGATAGGGACTTGGCAGATAGGATAGATTAGGGGAAATTTTTATAGATAGGGATTGGTAGATAGATAGATAGGTAGGTAGATAGATAGCTAAATAGATCAGATACAATAGGAGGAGGCGGCGGCCATCTTGGTATCGTCCGTAGCGGTCGTCGCAGGAAGCAGCCGCTGATGTCCGCCACTTTCTTCGCCATGATTTCCCTCCTTCTCTGCCTCCTCCTCCACCACCTCATCCACCTCCTCCTCCATCTTCTCCTCCCCCTCTTCCCTCTCCTGCTTCATCTCCCCCTCCTCCACCCCTCGCCTTTTTCCTCCTCAGCCGTCGCCGCCCCTTGTTAATATGTTTGCTTTGGGAACGCGCGTCACCACCGCCGCCGCCGCCGTGAGTAGATGTTACGTCATAACATCGATGTATTCCCCCACCGTACGTACACACACGCCCGCACGCCCACTCCAGATGCTCTGCCTCATGGACTACAACGCTACCTGGAATCCTCTCCCCGTCACATTAGCCACAGTTAAGGTGGGAAGAGGTGAGAGGAACTCGCGGCGGGCCGGGGTGCCGATCAGTAGGTAGATAGACTTCACGACGGTATGTCAGGGTCGGTAGAGTCCACACAGACGCGCGTTGCGCTCGCGTCACGTCGGTGTGTTTTTTATGACAGGGTACTATAGGTAAGTCGCACGCTGCCACGTGGCGTGTGATCGGATTTCGTCATCCCGCTAAACTGTCGTGTTCGCCGAGGCGCGAATTATATTAACCGCACAGCGGAAGCAAAGCGGTTGGGGTCGCCACGGTCGCGACGACGGCGCGTTCGTCGCTTGGCGCTGGCACTAAGTCGCGCGTAGGAGTGGCAGTGTAATTAGGGGGGCAGTGCGTGATCAATTTGTAGGGCGTGTGGTGAGGCGGGGTTTATTTGGTGCGTTTTTTAGCGACGCATCGTCTGGGCGTGGATCGTTCAAGTAATTATGTTGTCGTGTGAGCCTGTTCGGGAGAGAGGGTGAGAGAGAGAGCGTAAGAGCGGGCGAAGAGAGAGAGAGAGAGAGAGAGAGATAGTGTGGGGGAGAAATGGAGAGAGAAAAGAAGCGGAATGTTGGCATGGAGAGAGAGAGAGAGAGAATGAGAGAGCGAGCGAGACGAGGAGAGAGAGAAGAGAGAGAGCGAGCTGAGAGAGGAGGTGAGTAGAGAGTTGTGAGAGAGAGGAGAGTGAGAGTGGAGAGAGAGAGGAGAGAGAGGAGAGAGAGCGAGAGAGAGAGAGAGAGAGAGAGAGAAAGAGAGAGAGCTCCCGCGACATTTCAATTAGTTTGGCAGCTTCTCGGCTGCAAGAGATTAACTCAGCTGTCGCAGTAGTATATAGGAGCAGCGACGTCGCTTCTGTCGTCGGTGGGAAGGCGATAGGTGTCATGGGTGGCGACTACTGCCGCCGTCGACAGACGCATATTATCAAGAGCTCATAATAGAAATCTCTCTATTATGAGCTCTTGATATTATACACAATTACATCTACATTTACATTTACGTTTACATATATGTCTACATCTACATCTACACCTATATCTGCAACTAGATCTACATCCACATTTACATCTACACCTATATCTGCAACTACATCTACATCTACACCTATATTATCTGCAACTACATCTACATCTACATTTACATATGTGTCTACATCCACATCTACACCTATATCTACAACTACATCTACATCTACATTTACATATGTGTCTACATCCACATCTACATCTACATCTACATCTACATCTACACCTATATCTGGAACTATACATCTACATCTACATCTACATCTACATCTACACCTATATCTGCAACTATACATCTACATCTACATCTTCATCTACACCTATATCTGCAACCACATCTACATCTATATTTACATCTATATTTACATCTACAGGCCCGTAGCCAGGGGGGTTCGGGGGGTCCCCCCCC